GTTTGAATTTTTGCAATTGTGTTGTCATATCCTGCTATGGCAACAGAAAATGCCCATTACTGAAATTAAGTAGAGCAATAGAGGTGCATTGAAAAATTCAGTGGAAAAGAAAGTAGTGAATAATGCAGAGTGTTAAAGGTTAATTTTTGTTTCACTTTTTTTCTTTACTTCAAACAATTTTCCTTGTTTCTGGTTAAAAATTAAATATAAATTGTCCAATGTTTGAGTACTTTTGACCTTTAACAAAATTTGATGTTTTGCACTATATCCATTTCATCTTCTTTCAAACGATAGTCCAGAAGTGTCTCTGCATCCTTGTGGGGGATGAATTATTTTCCACCAGACATCCCCTTTCCTCACAGATAAAAAGTCACAAGCATTTTACTACTCTATCGCTATTTCCATGGAAAGATTTCAGATAAACATCTCTTCAAGTACTTCTAACTTTCCTCACTAAGAACTGCCATGCCACCATTTTAGTGAACAACCCTCACTGGTGAGATGTAAGTTCCACTCAAGTTGTTTCTTCCAATGAACCACTATTTTGTGGCACTGACTCTCAAGAGGATGCTTCTCTGATCACTACAATCTTAACCTGTTTACATCTAAGGTTATTCGTTAACTTTGCCACATATCCCCATAAACAGTGTCTCTTACTCAGTGACCCTCTGCTTCGAGTGGCTCTTAGGCCTTGTACAGAGTGAACATCATTGCAAAAAAGTGTCACATCTTCACACATCATGCCATTTATTTTTTTTAAGTAATGGCTGATGCTAACCCCCAGGAGAGTGACTCACTGTGCCATCTCCTGACACATCTGGCCTGGTGATTGTGCTATGTATTTAGAGATTCTTGATGAAATACAAAGAAGAATCTGCTATTTTATTGGTCTTGACCTGGCATCTCAGCTTCAGTCATGTTCCCACCAATGTAACATAGCTTCTCTTTGCCTTTTCTATAAATATTTTCATGGTAATTGTTCTGATGAGCTTTCCTCTTTGGTATTGAGATTTTAAGAATTTAAGCATAGATTGGCAGAAAGGTCTCATCATATTTACAGTTGAAATAACTAGATGTGAACCGTAAGTTCTATGCTAACAGTTTCTTCTCTCACACTTCTCATTTCTTGAACTCTTTTCCACCTTCTTGCTTCCCAGTCAACTTTGATCTTCAAAATATTAAGTGTCATGTCATTTGTTATTTTCTGTCTTTTTAATTCCTGTTATTTTATTGTTTTTCCTCGTGAAATAATGTTTTCAATTTCTCATATTTTCTCATATTCATCAATTCCTTGTGTCTTAGTGGCTTTGACTTGTTTGGGGTGAAATGATTTAAAAAAAAAAAAGAGAAACCAGAAAAAATAAATAATAAATAAATAAAAAAAATTTAAAAAGAATATTTGTCACTCTTTAACGAAACAAAACACACACACACACACACATATATTCGTTTGCTCGTCATATTGAACTCGCCAGGAGGTACCCACTTTACAAGCTACAGCTACTGGCCACCTGATAATGCATGAAATTTGCAGTCATGGCCAGTCATTGCTTACCTGGATTTTGATATATATATGCTTTAAAGCTCAAATGTAGAACTGAATTCAACATGATGATACGATAAAGGACAAATAGGAAATGTTTACCAATCTAACATTTTATAAAATCTTCATCAGAGACTGAGAGAAACAGATAAAAAGTTCAGAATTCCCTGTAGGTTACCCGTATGAGAAAGGAAGGAGGACACAATGGCCAAAATGTTGTGATGATAACAACAAAGATGAGGACAATAGTCTGATTATAAATTGTATAAATAATGATAACTCCTCATCCAAGAAATTCAGACAGAAATCATCTTCATTTGCATCATATTCCGTTTGTAAGGAGGAAGTTCCACTCAGACAGCTTCTTCCTAGAAATGTTACATTGTGAAACTGACGCCTGGATTGATGCTACACTGATAAATTACAATCTTAACCTCTTCAAGTCTATGGTCAACAATTGGTATCTATCATGCATATCCTCATAATATGTGTCTCCTATTCTTCTGTTCTGGGTATCGGTTTGAAATTAGAAATTATGGAACAAAGTTTGAATTCCAGTCAGGTTCATTGCATTCACTTATGTGCCAATAGCCTTGAGAAAGATATGAATCCATCTCTTCTCCCCCCCCCAGCTATGGGTTGAATAGCAAAGTGGGTTCTGTAGCCTTGGTTGGAAAACAGTCTATTGCAGAAAGAAACAACAACTATTGTGGGAAAATCTTTTACCTACTCAGTCATGAATCAAAAGAGACATAATTGCCCAAGAGGGTATCATGTATTGCACTTAATTGACTGACTCATTCAGTGACCCTCTACCTTGAGTGGCTCTTATGAATTCTATGGAGTGAACAATATTATAAAAATAGTTTGCGTTCTTATTGATAGCTTATTTTTTAAAGTTTTACACATTGGTCATTTCATACAATGAATTTTCAAACTTTGTAAGTAACTTCTTCAGAGAGCAAACAGATTATCCTTCCAATGTGTCAATATTTCAGTTGTGTTATCATCTCCTGCTATGGCAACACATAGTGATTTAGATTGAAATTAACAATAGGACTACTAATGTTCACCAAAGACTTGACGTTTGTCCAGTATGCAAAGATTTCTTACTACACTGTTGCTAGCATTTAGGGTTTGGTGGAGAAATGTTCATTTTTTTTTATGCTATGCGCTATGCAGGACTGCATTTAGATGAAGAAAGGCCTGTGACTATTCCATTTGTGAGGCTCCCCCAAATCCCCCTAATCTCACGAGTAGAAGAAAATGAAAGAGTGTTGATTTAAAAAAGTTGTGTAAATCCGAGGATAACGACGGTTGTTTGAATTATTGAGGGGTTATTTACAATCTGCAATATATTATGACAGCATGTGTAAGAAAGGCCTATGACGGTGTCAAAAATATTATACATCTTGCTGGAGGTCTCATAGATTTTGAGGTCCTAGGCTTCAGCCTGCTAAGCCTATAGGTAAATCTGGCACTGACACCATGTCTATTTTCAACAATGTCTTTGCTTGTTTGTTTTCCACTTGAACTACATGATTTCTGTTTTTATTGAGCCTCATTGTGGATCAATCTGGAGATTATAAATTTTCCTGTAATGAATGTTGATAGTCTAGACAAAAAGAGTGAACACCACCTACCCATCACTTCTAATGCCAGAAATCTTGAGAATCCAGACAAGCCTAGATTCAGTTTTCATTTTCCAGACATGTTGATAGTCTAGACAAAAAGAGTGAACACCACCTACCCATCACTTCTAATGCCAGAAATCTTGAGAATCCAGACAAGCCTAGATTCAGATTTCATTTTCCAGACATTTGATAGTCTAGACAAAAAGACACCACCTACCCATCTTGATAGTCTAGACAAAAAGAGTGAACACCACCTACCCATCACTTCTAATACCAGAAATTTTGAGAATTCAGACAAACCTAGATTCAGTTTTCATATTCCGAACCAATTTCAGAATGTAGTTACTTGCATGGTTTCTTATAGCCCATATTTTTCTTTAATAAACCTGTCCACTTGTCAGGGTTCCCCACCCATCTTTGAGTCCAGCTTTGGGAAAAAGGTGTCTGGAGAAATCCATTTGCTTTGACATCACACAGAAAGAAAATATTTGCTAAAGGAAGTCTCCAAGCATTTACAAACAAGCTACTCTGTGCTAGACTTAGTGTAACATCAGTTTTGAGTCTTTCAGATTAACTGACCCATAGTCACCAACTTGACATTTATATATGGCAATAAGCTTAGTGTTGATTCTGATGGCATTTGTTTTCGAAACAATTTGGTAGTTATATATATGTAAATATTGGACTTCATTGGCTGAAAGTGATGTTTATTATGATGTGACTGCACTTTTGCATGAAGGTGATGGAACTCTAAAATTTTAAACTTTAATTTTTTTTTTTTTAAGTATGCATTTCGGTAAATAATACATTTAAAGTAATAAAAATGCAAATATATTAAAGCAAAAGGAGAGATAGGGAAAAGATAAGAAAAAGAAACATTACCTATCATAAAGTGGTGAATTGCAAAATATAAGAAAAAGCTGAAAAATGAAAAATGTTAACTAGTTATCACTCCTTGCTCTTCAAAGCTCAATCAATGATAAAACGTAAATACATTTTCAGTGACTTAAATAATTGTGGGAGAGAAAATACTATCAGAGAATAAACAAATGCCAAATTATTTTAACACCCAGCAGCCATTCCTTCTGCCTACCTTGCATGGGCAGGAAAATAATAAAGCTGCAGACATTCTATGTATGCTGCTTTCTACCAAAATTTTTTTATCTTTTTTTTTTGTTACTCAGCTTCTTTTTCAGAAATGTTCCTCATCTTTTATTTATACCTCCTCCCAGAGTACTGTATAACAGGAATTATGCACTTTTTATTCATTAAACACTTCATTTCTAACCAAAACATTTTTTCCAGGTATCTATCTCTTTATATATATATATATATATATATATATATATATATATATGAATATGACATAACGATATATAATTTTATATAGCCAAAAACAGTATTGAGAAAATAGTATGACAAATTGGAAAAAAGTTTTTGTGATGTGTTTCATCTGTTCAGATTTGATCAGATTAGATTTTGGTGATGTTGCTACATCTGCACATGTGCACAAAATGAAAGATGCTGGTAGTTTCAATATTTTTAAAAAAATATTTTTTTTGATAAAATTTTTTTTTTTCAATCTAGCCAAATTTATCTATATTCTTTTTCTCTCCATCACCTTTGTCCCTGACTATCAAAAAATATTCTATCAAAAATTTTGAAACTACCAGCATCTCTCATTTTGTGCATGTGTAGACATAGCAGCATCAACAAAGCCCAGTGTGATGTAATCCTAATGGATGAATTGTGTCACAAAAAATATATTGAATATGCAAATTTCAACAGTGTGGTACAAGTCTTTTTCTATCTTTCTTTTCAAGCTATGAATTACGGTGCGTAATCTGGAATACGGATGATGTTGTATTGGAAGATGATGCATTTTTCACTGGAGAGAAAATGAGTGACATTTATGTAAAAGGATGGATAAAAGGCCAGGAAGATCTTCAGTGTACAGATATACATTACAGGTAAGTCAGAATTTATTTCTAAATTCCCAGTAGGTTACCTTCATGTTTGATGGTAATTTTTATGGTAATTGTTCTAAATATTCACTGCCTTGTGGACATACTGAATCATTAGAAAGTCTTCAAGATTAAACCCCAAGGTCAAATCCAGAGCTGGAGTCTCTAAGACAGTACGATGTTATGTCCAACTTTGTTTTGGTAGTCATGCAATGATGCCATTTTGCTATATTAGGTTCTACCTTTCCCTTGGACAACATTGGTGTAATGGACAGGGAAGAAGTGCTGTATAGGCAACTACCAATCTCATAAAATTCTGCACAGGCCTGTCCCCGGGAGGGACACTCCAGTGTTGCCTCACCATGACAGCAAGACATGGGAAGCAACAGTCTACTGATGGGAGGATTTTGAAGGTCCTTCTGTATGGGGAACTGGCCACCAGCATGAGAGCACAAAAGTGACTTCATCTTTGCTTCAAAGATGTCTGCCATGTCCATGAGGGTGATGGACATAGCATAGAGAGGTGAGAAGATGTCGCTAATGATTGCTCACAATTGGAGATGCGACTTTCACTGAGTGCTGGAGTGAAGAGAGAAGAAACGGATGCTTTCTGCTAGGGTGAAGCATGCACAGCAACATTGAGTAGAGTGTCTTAAAATGTACTGGTTGCAATTGAGACAGTCACTCCTGTATGGGGCTGTACAGCCATAACAAATGCTGTGTCACCATCAACAGCTGAGGTATAACTCTTTGGGCATAGGATCCATGGTCTCTAGATACTGACATATACCACATTAAATGTTCTGATGAGCATTCCTCTTTGGTATCTTGACCATAGTAACCTGCTTAGCTTGCTCAAATGCACACCTAATCTTTGTTAAATCACCCATCTAGGAGGAGGTATAGTCATTTTCCAAGCATAGTTTAGATGCAACACAAGGCCACACATATGGGGCACCCAGTGAGGATCGAATTCACTATTTAGTCATAATTGTTTTAGCAAGACACGCTTGCTAACCATTGCACTGCCTCGAGGTGCCCTAGGAGAAATTATAAAACCTGTAACTTTGATCTTATTTAACAATATTGACTGGTTCTTTTATGGGGAAATGCAATCATGGTTCAGAGAGTGGGATTGGTTCCATGCAAGGATTTCCTCAAAGAAAAAAGCTTCAAGACTAGGCACTGATTGTTAAAATGGTCATCACTGCAGGATTTTTGCATTTAAAGTGCGATGACTGGCCATAGCTGAAACAGGCACTTAAACTCAAAAGAGGTGGCAGAGAGTGTTCTTTGCTGGGCTAAAAAATCATGTTCATGCTATGCACAGGGGAAATTGGGTATTGATAAACTATTAAACAATGATACTCAGCATCATGTGTGTATATATATATATATATATATATATTCTTGTAAGATTTTTAGTTCTCAGAATTGCTTTTCTAGTTTTGTATATCTGCTGAACTCATTTTCTATCCAGATGAAGTTTGCTTCCAGTATAGGTTCTTTAACATTTTAATATCCTTCCCAAATATATCAAGTTTGCCGACCAGTTCCAATAGATCTTTGTGGTGTGCTTTATTGAACATTTTTGTGTAATCTATAAGAGACAGGTACACATTTTTCTGCATTTCCATCGCTCTTTCTGAGCATAAATATTGCGTTCCTTATTCCAGAGTCTTTGACAAACCCATGCTGTTCCTGTCCTAATTCTGGTCTGATTGTGTTGCATACACTAATGATTTTATTTGACCAGTACTGGTAGTAAATCTCACCTCCATCCCCTTGCACCACGCAGTATAATTTACAAAGATTTCAGAAAATAACAAAAAAATGGTAAAATTTAACAAAAGTACCTGCAAAAAAACTGTATCAAAATATTTTTTTTCTCTTGACTATGCTATTAATTTTTTACTCTCTTGGTAATTAATAACTTGATGACCCTCCCCACCTTACCTCACTTCACCATTTGAAAAATGAAAACAAGAAGGTATCTAATATGTAAAATAATCTAAGAAAATATATGTCCGGAAAATAGATTTTTTTCAAATTATGTAATTGCAGTTATTCATCATAATGTGTTTATTTAAAATTTTTCCTTCTTTTGTTCACAAACATTTTTATAATCTTGTGAATAAAAAAAAATATTTGTTTTCATAATTATTTCCTTATAGCATCTAGTTTCATATGTTTGGGTTTTATTAAGATTCTTAAAACTAACTTTTTAAAACAGTAAAAATTGTTGACAGTATATACTAATCACAGTGTTAAGAGAAAATTCCTTTTGACAGACTGTTTTTTTTTGCAGGTATATTTGTTAAACTTTGCCAAAAAACAAAATTTAATTCATGAAAATATCATTGCCATTTCTTGTGATTTTCTAAAGTTAAATTTGGGCTGATTAAACCAAGTCTCTAAGTTCAAATCTTAATAGCCCCAACAAGATTTGGATTTGTTGACCAAGTACAAAAAATGAATTTCAAAATGTTATCTGTATATATTTCTGAGATGAGGTATTGTAATTATTTACACCATTTACATTGTTCGGATTATTGTCCTCATCTTATTCACAATGTTTCGGCTGTTGTACGCTCCAAACTTCCTCAGGATCTGTCTGTATTTCTGAGATGAGGTATTATAATTATTTACACCATTTACATTGTTTGAACTGTTCTCCTCATCTTTGTTGTCACATTCACAACATTTCAGCCATTGTATGCTTCAGACTTCCTCAGGATATGTCTATATTTCTGAGATGAGGTATTATAATTATTTACACCATTTACATTGTTTGAATTGTTGTCCTCATCTTCGTTGACACATTCACAATGTTTCGGCTGTTGTATGCTCCGGACTTCCTCAGGATTTGTCTGTATTTCTGAGATGAGGTATTGTAATTATTTACACCATTTACATTGTTCAGACTGTTATCCTTATTTTTGTTGCCATATTCACAATACTTCGGTCATTATACATTCCTGCCTTCTTCAGGTGATTGGAATTTCAGACTGAATCCTTTATTTCATCCATTTCAAAATAAAGGGTTCAGTTTGAAAATCCAATTACCTGAAGAAGACTGGAGTGTACAACAGCTGAAACATTGTAAATATAGCAACAAAGATGAGGACAACAGTCCAAACAATGTAAATAATTCAAAATGTTAATTAAAATGTTTCTATTTAACCAATACTGAGAGGCTTTACTTTTGAACCATCTCCTTCAATAATCAGTTGGTTTGTTGATTCATTTTTTATGGCTTATCAACCTTTTGTAGGTTATTTAAAGCCAGAGATATTTTTAGATTGTAAAAGATTTGGGGAGAAAATAATTATTTACTGTTACAAGATCTTCTAATTAAGACATAGCTGGAGAGGAAAGAGCTGGATTCACACATTTCCCAAGAGTATTTGCCTGTAAGTGAAACTAATGAACCTGATTGGAATTAGAACTCAGCTCTGATTTCCAATTTTGAGCCATTATACATTAAACCAAAATCCAAACTTAAAAGATCTGGTATTACTGACCAGGCTCAATGTTGCTTAGCCTTGGTGATCATACGAGACCCGGTGTTTCAATGTGATATGGTCATAAGAATAACGACCTGAGAGTTGTTGATGATAAAAACCTGAATTTTGAAATTCTGATGATGCTATTTGACCAGTGCTGGTAGTAGACCCCGCTTTCATCCCCTGTCACCTCCTCAGTGTCAACAGAAAGATGAGCTGAGAATTGCTGCTCAGATGTTTGTAAACTTGAAACCTTCTAATAAAGAATTTAACATCCAAATAAACAAAGTCTTGCCAATTATCAGCAAACATTATCTCCCTCATTATACAGTCATTTGGTTCGAGCCAATGCAAAGCTGGTAGGGTGTCAATCTCCTCTACAAGTCAGCCTCATTATAGCATTTGTTCTTCAACAGGAATTGATATTTAGAAATGATGTTCAAGTTGACCCAACAAAGTCAGAAACCTGGGGGACAAATAAGACCCAGATAAAGCACTTGGGGAACATTGATTCTTCAGCTGACATACCGGTTCCGAAGATAATCAGGTCAAATCTGGTGTCAGAACTCTCTGGCGTTTTGCTGAACTTTTCATGCATAGTCAATTATCGTTGTAGTGAAAAGTTTAGCTGTCAATAGAGTAACACTTTGGGCGGCTTGCCAGAATTTACAGAAATTTTAACAGCTACAAGTTTGCAGAGGCTGGGTTCAGTGGCGCCAGCAGTATTGGCTACACAGCTGTTAACTCCCTAACGTCGCACCTTGAAGAGAGCGGCAGTTGCACCTGCTCTCAGAAACCTTGAACAATTTCTTCTTCAGAGATGCATGAAGGAATCAAGATAGAAATTTTTGTTTATTTCCAAGAATATAATGGAACAAAATCCAATGCAAAAAGAAAAGAAAAACTGCAGTCAAACATTACAAAATGAAAACCATACGAAGTTAAGCAACATCAAGCCTGCTCAGTACCTAGATGGGTGACAACTTGGGAATATCAGGTGCTGTAAGCTTGGATGTGCAGGTAATATAAAAGGCTTACAGCCACACCACATTGCAACACTGGTTCCTGTAAAATCACCAAAGTTAAGCAATGTCAAACCTGATGGGTGACTGCTTGGGAACACCAGGTGTTGTAAGCTTGGATATGCAAGTAGTACTTACAGCCACATCACATTCAAACACCAGTTCCTGTACAATCACTGAAGTTAAGCAACATTGAGTTTAGTCAATACCTAGATGAGTGACTGTTTTCAGAATACCAGGTGCTGTAAGCCTGGATGTGCAGGTGGTGTAGTGGATAATGGCTCAGAATTGTTAGTTGGAGAGCCGAGTTCCAATTCGTATTGGGTTTGTTATATTCACTTACGCACAGATATTTTTCGGAAAGGTATGAATCCACCTATTCCCCCCCAGCTATGGATTAATTAGTAAGACCAGTATTAGTAAATCATTATCATCTAAAAAAAATTCTTACAATCTAAAAATATTTTCTGGCTTTAAA